TTTACTTTTATGTGGTGCTGAGGATTGAACCCAGTGCCTCAGGCGTGCTAGGCAAGCGCGCTACCTCTGAGCCACATCCCCAGCCCCCGACTTTCGGGTTCTCAATGGCCAAGTGCCATGGCTGCCAGGGGTCTGCTCCCTTCCCCTGCGGTGGAGGGGCAAACTGAGACTCCTCCTACTACAGTGGTCTACTCTGTTTTCCAACCACTGCTTCCCTCAACATGCAGCCCAGGGGGCTCTTGCGGAATGTTGGCTTTAGAGACCTGAAGAGAGAAAACATAAGGACAGAAGCTGGCGTGTGCCCACTTTTGCCCTAGCCCCCAGCTCCTCACAGCCCAATTCAGTGGGTTGACGGGTGTCACGAGGCACCACGGGCACCCCTCCCGCCCCACCCCGCCGCCATGCTTACTTTTCATGCATCCCACCTGCAGCCTGCTCAGAGCCTGTGCCTAGACAGAGAATGCCCGCACCTGGTGTTAAGGCCCTCCTAAGATGCCTATAGACCATCTTTGCCCTCATCTCAACCCCGCCCCCTTGTTCACCCACCCCCGAACTGCTTGCATACTCCAAATGCACTCCGGCAGCATCTGGCTCTGGGTTTTCCTCTCCCTTTCCTTCTGGGGAACACCTGGACCTTCTCCCCTGACCGCTCCCGTGCACTTTATCTGGACTCATTTGAGTGGCTAGAATACTTACTGAGCTGGGCGGGAGCATGGCCCCTGGCAGGGGTCCACACTCTGATCCCCAGCGGAGCCTGGGAACTTGTTACCTTATGTGACAAAAGGGACTTTGCAGATGTGGTTAGGGTTAAGGACTTTAAAGAGGGAAGATTATCTGAGATTGTCCAGGTGGGTTCAGTGCAGTCCCAGGGTCCCAGGGTCCCTTTTCTCCACATCCTCACTAACACCTGTCATCTTCGTTTTTTGGATAACAGCCATTCTAACAGGTGTGAGGTGACACCTCATTGTACTCTTGATTTGCATGTCCCTGATGGTTAGTGATGCTGAGCATTTCTTCATGTGCCTGTTGGTCTTTGTATGGCTTCTTTAGAGCCACTCTTTGTCTTTTGATTTAAGTCCTTTGTCCACTTATTCTATTTTGTTTTTTTTCAGTTGTAGGTGGACACAATACCTTTAATTTATTTACTTTTATGTGGTGCTGAGGATCAAACCCAGTGCCTCACACGTGCTAGGCCAGTGCTCTACCACAGCACAACCCCAGCTCTTTGCCCACTTTTAAAAAAATTTTTTGCCACTGGGGATTGAACTCAGGGGCACTTGACCAGTGAGCCACATCCCCAGCCCTATTTTGTATTTAATTTAGAGACAGGGTCTCACTGAGTTGCTTAGTGCCTTGCCATTTCTGAGGCTGGCTTTGAACTTTCGATCCCCCTGTCTCAGCTTCCTGAGTTGCTGGGATTGCAGGCTTGTTCCACCATGCCTGGCCCTTGCCCACTCTTTAATGGTGTTATTTGTTTCCTTGCTATTCAATTGTCTGGGTTTCTTATATATATTTGGATGTCAACTCCTTAATGATGTATAATTTGCAAATATTTTT